CATGCAGTTTCTAAAGTGACCTCATCGACATTTTTCTGAAATGTCTAATTATTCTCATTGCGAAGCGCACAAAGAAGGCGGGGCATTAGGTATGGTGCTCTTTCTGAAGGTGGCTGCTCCATGCGCTCTGTTCTCATTAGAATCAATTGAAATCAATGAAGAAAAAGATGCTTTGTGGACACGGGCCTGTAGATTTTCCACAAAGAAATTCCAAACAAATTAGTGTATTTTTCTCTCTCCTTCGTTAAATGTATGATTTTTTTTTTGGTTGTTGTATGTCTTTTGAAGATCAATTGCATTTCTTGCCGATGTGTGTGATGCAGCTGTGGCTATAGGGCTGGATATCTATTTTATTATTTTGTTTATTTTGTAGAGACAGTGCCTCTTATTGAATATCAGTATAACATACATTACCTAACATATGCATAACATAACAAGTTAGCAAAAATACTGATTTAGTCCTTAGTCTCTAGACAGGTCATACAAATAGAAAAACATTGTACAATATCTAAGAACAAATATACAATACACATAAAAAAAATGTCAGTTCTGGTTTACTTTAGGCAATTGTTGAGATGAGTCCTACAAGTTGAATATGTAGGGCAAGAGCAGAACCCGAGAAATGTCCAGAGATAAATTATTGGATTGCCTTTACCAATTGTTTTCTATACATTCAGGATTTACACTTTGAAATCTCTTCTTGTGAGATTCAGATGAGTAATATTAGGCCTGTATCAGCAGCTGATTAGCTTAGCTCAGCGTAACGGTTGGAAATAAGAGGAAACAGATGGTTTATTCGCTTAATTCAAAGTTCTTGCACTTCAGAAAACTTTATTGGTGGGTTGGTCGGATCATAAACTGAATTTAATGTCCTTATATTAAGGTTTAAGGACATAAAAAGTGTGAATAATGTCAGTAATATTGATGGCGAGGGTGCATAGTTTATTTGGTTCTTTCACAGTTATTCACACAGAACATTTATTAGAACATGAATTATAATGGAACATATTATCAAAGACAGACACTGCTTTAAGAGTAATGTTCATTCAAAAACGTTAACATTTTAACAATTATCCAGCTTTTGTTTATGACCCTAACATATCTGCACTGTATGATTTACTTGTTAGTTTTTAGGAGCAGAACATCTAAGTTTTCAAGTCATTTTAATATAATTTAGCACTAAATAACTAGTAGTTTAATTAAACCGTAAATGTGATATTTTTGGCTGCAACAATTGTATTGGTCATATTAAATACTAGACCATTCTACCGTGACACTGCTATCAATTTATCATCTAGATAGTGACAACAAAGCGACAAGTTCCTTTAATGTTAAACTATAATTTGGGAATTACCAGTATAATGTTATAAAAGTAATTGAAGTTTGCATTAAATACAGACGAATGGACTTTGAAAATATCTGAATCCATGTATGTAAAGTTGATTCTGAGGTTAATATGGATATTATTTTTCACCAGTCCTCTCATATCAAACTGGAGTAACTTGAAAAAAGTTATAGAAAAAGGAATAGAAAAGTCACAAGTTAAAAAACCATCCAGTCTTTAGTCACAGTCTGAATTAGACCCAGTGGCGATGCGTAGTGCTTGACGAAATGTACCTTCTGTATGAACCATATTACTACTAAAAAAAGTTGTGAAGAAAAAAAGAGAGATGAAAAGAATGGAGAAATAGCAGAAGCTTGGCTCATTTCATTTTCCCATTTCACCTGAATAAATCAAAGTTGGTTTAATAGAGAGGAACTTTGCTCTCAGATAGACGTTTCGGAGGGAAAATGTCCACTTCCTGTTCCAATTCCATTCTGTGCAGAGGCAACGTCTCGGAAGATAAAAAACCCTTTCCGAGGCCATTGGGCCTTTTCATCACTCAGGTAACATAAATGCAATTTTTTTTAGATGGTCTGAAGTCAAGAAGTCCAATTTCCACTTCACTTCTCTAAAAACCTTCATCTCGCAAAGAATCAAGAGGGAGCTTTTTGTGTAGTTTCGAGTTTGGGGGGTTTGGAGGGAGGCCATGCGTCCCGGAGGAATCATCGATCTGCCACTGAAGTCTGACCAGATGGAGTTTCATACCATTTCATCGCACTAAAAAGCTGGGAATAATACCAGAATCCTTCTTGAGTAATCTCTCTTTTCAGTAGTTCAGTAGGATTTCTACCCTTCACTCATTATAACTTTCTATGCAATGATTGTACATTGTTTTGAATGTAATTTTTGTATTTATAGAGAGCATAACACTTTGAATTCAAGATGGCCAAACTGTCACCAGTAAAGAAAAGAAAAAAGAGTGCAAGAGAAGTAAGAACGTTTAAAGAGAGAGTGATGGACGTCAGAGAAATCTGCAGAAGAAGACAGACAGGAAGTAAGCACTAAAGGGAACAGCAGAAGAAGACAGACAGGAAGTAAGCACTAAAGGGAACAGCAGAAGAAGACAGAGAAGGGGTGTTTCTCAATGTCGAGGACGCTTCCTTGGTATGACATGTCTTCTGAGTCAGGTCCTTCAGAAGCGAGTCAAGAATCCTTCCTAGCCTCGGAAAACGAAGAATGGTCGGAACAGGCTAACAGGTGTGCAGGTGTGCGTCATATGAGAGGCCCCGCCTTACATTTTCTGGCAAAGATTTTGGAAATTGGTCCGTGCGCAAAGCATTGTGGGGATTTTAAGACTGCGGAGGATACACATGTGCAGCCTCGACATTTCCCGCAATGAAGGACGCCGGCCTCGGTAGAATTCCAAGTATCCTGGACATTGGAACAGTCCTTCGGCGGGACTCGATGACGTAGCATCCTTGAAATAGTGGCTCTGGAGGAGCCTTCCTCGACATTGAGAAACACCCAGGAAGTAAACACTAACGGGAACAGCAGAAGAAGACAGACAGGAAGTAAAACACTAACAGGAACATGGATGAACTATGGCAGTGTTTAAAGACGTGAACAGACTTGAGAAGTTACAGAAAACCTCCATTAGTGCTGCCAAGTCATTTGTAATCACTATTATGAGTGAAGTCGCTGGTTAATTAGTGTTAGTGTAACTGTAATAAGCTTCATGTCATAAATGACCGCCTCACTGCAAGGTATCCATTACTCACCATTGGCCTGTGGTCCGCATGTTGAGCTGTTTAAAGTATTGTTATTTCTCTACTTGGTCCAACGCATTGTGTCATAAAACACATTCCTGTCAACCGGGCTACTTTGCTATTTTCAATTAAAATTCAAAAAAGGTCCCAGACATGATTTACTGTCAGCCGATGTGATGCAGTTTCCTGTTCTGTCACCGCTGTGTCCAGAGAACTATACAACTCTGACAACTGCAATCTTTTGAGGAAAGAAACAGCGAGTGGATATAAAGTCAAGAGCCGACTCAGTGGAGCTGTGACAGACACTCTGTTTACCCACAAACCTGAGTCCCTGGCTCACCTTGACAACACAGTAAATAGCAATCAAGACCCAGTCATATCAAATTATAGACCCTGAGCTGCAGGGAGGTAGGGTGCGACGAAGTGACACATGTGAGCATCAATTTATTTACAACGCTTGCTCTTATGTACGGGTTTTATAGCAGAGTACTCGCTTTATTGGAGAGTTGTGCACAGCAGAGAAACAAGTCGTCATTGAGCGACTGCCTACACGTTTTTTTCTGAGCAAATGGGTGAAACCTCAAGATCTGCGCTGAACTTAAAGATCCCAATGCTTTTACACAATTGTCTTTTTCAGTTAAAGTCAACAGGAATTAGAATATACTTCCAACTGAGCTTACAGACCTTTTGCCATGCTGCAGTCATTTATTATTTTTTATCCCTACACTTCTTGCAGTACCTCGTTCTTAAACTATCTCTTTTATGCATGGTTTTCATGAATCTGTTATTCCATTGTGTTTATTTATTGTGTGTCTTTCTTTTGTCTTCCTATTGTGTGTTCATGTTGATGTAAAGCACTTAGAATTGCCTCGGTGTCTGGAAATGTGCTGCAGTATATAAATAAACTTACCTTACCTTATCATTTTTCAAAATAGTCACAGGTATTCATTAGCCTCAAGAGACTCATAGTTTCAGCCTCAGAAAGAACGATGTCGCTCAAGAAACACACCGACTTTGTGTGTCACTTTTTATTCCTTCACGCCAATCCAACCAGATTTCATGATAGTATTCCTTTTGTAAATCCAACATAAACTTGTTTTAATTGCTCAATTTCTATATCTTTATACTTAATCTTAGTTCATAAGGGTAGGTTCTGGTAGAAACATGAAGTCATCTTTCTGCATGCACCCTCACTACTCCCTCTTCACATTTACAACACTGTCACTGCTGTAACTCATGTTCACGGGCCTGTGGAGGAAAGCAGAAAACAAACCTCCCACCTCCCCGACACTCACCCACATGTCACTTGATTACTATTAGTTAAAGCTCTCCTCCAGTCATATTAAACATCTTACTTTGAATAATGCCTGGCATGTTTATCCCACAAAGCTTAATAAACGTATAAGAAATTATTGAAATTAAATCATCTCTTTCTACTTCATTGGAATATTCAGAATCTATGAATATGGGAAATATTTTCTGTTTAATTGCCGGACATAATATGCTTTCTATTGCACTGAAAAGTCCACATTCTACTTCCCAAATCACGTGTTAGTTGTGCACTGGAGCTGAATGGGCTTACAGTATTGTAACATATTTTAGAAGCAACTATTATTGTGTAATGCATTTAATACTTAATTAAGGCCTTTACAATTGCCAAATATTGATTGTAAGGTATCCTATTGGGCTAACATGTACAATATCATGACAACACTACATCGATGATTACATGATACAACAGAAGTTGCTTTTATGTTATATTTATATTAATATCAGTCATTAAGGATGTTTCACATGTAATAGAACAGTGTAACACCAACAATTTGAGCTCAATATTTGGTGTCTGAATCCTTAAATAACCCGTCCTTCTCATGTTCTTCTTCTTCTTCTTCTTCTTCTTCTTCTTCCAGGTCCAGTGGCTGTGATCAGTGGTGAGGAAGACTCTGCCAGCCCTCTTCATCATGTCAACCATGGGATTATTACCCCCTGCACTCTGGACGCAGGTCCTGATGCCGTCGTTATAGGAATGACTCGTATTCCCGTGGTGGAAAATCCTCAATACTTCAGACACGGACACAACTGCAACAAGCCGAGCACCCGTAAGTAAAGCTTTGTGGTGGAAATGCTTGAAATGAACAAAGAGTTGTCTTTCTGAGTCTTTAATCTTTTGCAAAAGAGGCACTCAGCAATGTCTCCACAGCCGAGTGCAACTACTCAAACTGGAGAGTTTTTTATACAGTTACAATGAATACATGCTTAGTCTTGAGATAATTGACCCGTGACCTTATCAAAGTAAAATAGACCCATGATCAGATAAATTACTTTTGTAACTCTGGCACAACAATTTCCTTCGGGATAAATAAAGTCCTATCTTATCTTAATGGTCACCTTCCTGAGTGCTGAGATCTACTGTCTCTTGACATGTACAGTAAGGCTTATATAGTAGTATTATTTATATGTTTAATATAACATAGCATTCAATTCTCTGATAATCATAATGTCCATTACAGCTCTTACCGGTCATCATGGCGGTGGTGATTTGATGGAGATACATAGGAACTGCTGTTGTTATCAAATCAGTATTTAGGGGATTTATCTGATCAGAGAGCGAGTAATCAAACCCAATGTCTTCATAGTTTTATTTAAACTGTTGCATCCCCATTGTAATCTGCTGTTTATCTTTACAATGAGAATTGCCGCAGCCCTCGGGGCAGGAGCATAATTTAGTGTCATCAACAGTCAGTGTGATCATACGCTTTTAGCATCCGCTGGCTCTGTTCCAGGCTCTTTATATAGGAGCTATTTCAACAAAAGAAAAGCCTTCTGTATTGCAGTGTTTCGACACCCCTCCCCTCCTCTTCTATCTCTCTGCTTCCCCACGGGACTCATGTTCCAGGTTTGGGAAAGACAAGACCACTTTATGGCCTAATTACTCACAATTACATCAACTGCTCAAGAGAATCAGCAGAAAAACAACTGTGCCAGGCGCCAGCCTGCTGCTTCCTTTCCTCACAAAATCAGTCGCACCAACCGGATTTACTCAGGGAAAACAGACACTCCTGCTGTCTGACTGGCAGCGGGCGAGTTTAAACTATCCTGAACCCTTTTAGTTTGGATCTTGTGTCTTGGCTCGCTTTCAAAATGGCCGTTGGTCAGCTTAACTGAGGTTGACTTCTGATTTGGAGCAAATGAGAAGGAAGGAAATCCCATTTAGAGGTGATAAATAAATGACGGCTCTTATGTTTTATGAATTGCATGAATTGTTAATGGCCAGCCGGTGACTGATTTATAACGTCTCATGCCTGGAACAGGAGATCTGATTGCCAGCTAATGAATAAATGACACTGAGCACAAATGAAACTTTTTACAGATTACCATGTGACCAGAATTAAAAGTCCAGACCATGGCTGTGCACCAGCTTTGACTTATATAGTATAGAATATTCACTCCTTCAACCTTCATCCCTTACTTTGACATTTCACTCGCAGTGTTTGCATAAAAAAAGGAAATTAACCTTGAATTCATCACAAGGTCATAATGGCCACTGCTTTCTGCCGGCGGCTGGAAAAACAAAATGGCTCCGAACGGCTTCTGCCTCTGCCGATCATTCACTGAATATGAATGTATTCTTTCCCCTCAGGACACACACACACACACAGACACACACACACAGACGAGAAAAAGGAAATGTCTGTGTGTATCCGTGTGTGGATCTACAATGTGTGTGTAGGTGTTTGACAGAGAGGATCAATCAGTGCTCGTATGGGGATGTAGGCGGAATCGTTAGCGTGGTTTGTAGGTAGAATGAATTTGCTGATTTCTCACCTCACTTTTTCTTTACCTTCTCAATGGTTTGATAATTGTCTGCAGTAAGAGGTCTCTCGGGTGCTCTGTGGATTCTCTATTGTGCTGCTGGCCTTGCTCAGACTCACTGTCTTGCGGCTCAGATACAGTATGGCGGCTTTGTTGATGCTCGGCCACCAATCCATAATGTATTCATTCATTTACTTGAAAGCCTTTTATCCAGGAGAATAGCTTGCTGCCAGTGCCACACACACACAAATAAACACATACACATACATCACTGTAATTCTATCTTTGTGAGAACCCTCTTAAACATTATGTATTCCCTTACCACTTACCCTTATCTCAACCATCACAACTAAATGCAACAACCCTAATTCAAACTTTATTCTAAGCTAAACCTTAAATGAAGCGAGTTTAAGACCAATGGCTGATGGGTTTTGTGGATTTTGATACCAGTACAGTATATACTATAACAGTAAGTGGGAGGATGAGAGAAACATGTGTGTTAACACAACTCTAACTTTGTTTAGACACAACATGTTTTTTTCCTAGCTTCTTTTTCTTTGAATCAACCATCACAACTAAATGCTTAACCCCAACCCTAAGCCTAACCTGAACCGTTGTCTAAACTGAACCTTAGACAAGTCTTCAACCAGGCCTTTGAAAAAGAGGTGACTGGCCAATGTCTCTCACTGTCCAATAAAGGTCCAAGTACAGGAAAAATACACACACACAATCCTAGTTCTTCCCTATAATCCAACAGTAGTCACACTAGAAAATAGAAATGTGAACACACTCACATTATTTCTTACCAATGTCCTTCAGCAGTCTTAAATCCACTACCACCACCATTCTCCTGTGTAATTCATAGTGTTCATGGCTGTGGGGCTGTGTGCTTCTAAAACCAGTTATTGTAGTTACAGTGAGGATGAGGAGAAACTGTAAATAACTACTTTCATACTACCTTTGTGAGCACCGTCATATAAATGATGTATTCCCTAGCCTCTTAGCCTTACCACAAGCATCACAACAAAAGACCTAACCCTAATCTGAAACTTAATATAACCTGAACCTTGAAACAAGTCTTAAACCTCAAAAAGGCCTTTCAAGAAGCAAAGACTGGTCCAAAATGTCATCACTATCACTGTTCAAGTTTAACAACAATACACACATCCCACACACCAACATGTCTTCTTACCTATGTCCATCAGGAGTCCATGTCCACCACCACCACCACCACTCTCCTGCGTAATTCATAGTGTTCATGGCTGTTGGGCTGTGTGCATTTTTAAACCAGGTCTTACAATAACAGTGAGGATGAAGAGGAGGACGAGGAGGAAAAGTCTGTTGCTGCTGTGCTGGCTTCTGTTAGAACAGCTGCTTGTGATGGGAAATCGCCGGCTGCAGAGCTCACACCAGTGGTTCCAGTTCGCCTTACCAGATGTATTATTCAGTGTTTGAACCTCAAGTTAGGACTGTGCTGTATTTATACAGCATATGTGTGGTTGTTGGAGAAAGCACAGCCTGAGCACACAGTATCTCGGCTGTAAGGCTGCAGCACATCAAAGAGTATGGTCATTCCCACATTGCAAGAAATAAAACAAAAACTATCCATCTGGAGTTGCCCTCTAGTTGAACTGGGAACCTGTGTACGTGCTCTCGTTGATCCGATATCTCACAACATAACCAAATAACCGAATAGAAACACATTAAAGCACAGACACAGAAGTGGCTGGAGCTATAATACACTGGAAACAATGGTGCTCCAAAAACAAGTTAAACAATAATGAAAACAAGCTGTTTTCACTTGAAATAAGTAAAAAAACAGCCAATAGAACAAGTGAACATTTGCTTGTTAAGATTTCTTGAAATAAGAAGGGATATTTAGATTAATCAGATCTTGTAATTGGGAAAACTAATTTTGAACTATATTTGACAAGAAACAGGACATTTTGTGCCGCAAATGCTCAAAAGTTTTCTTTTTTCTGATGTTAGTTGGTGATTTTCAAATAAATATGATTTATTTTACTTGACAAGATGATGCATTGTCTAAAAACAAGACCCGATATCTCACTGCAGTGTTACTTCTGAAGTTATTGTGTCTTATATCAGGTGTAAAGACATATTCTGACTAGAAATTAGACAAATATACCCTTCATAAAATGAGCAGAGAACATGTCTACAGTAGTAGAGAATACTACAGTATTTATACACCTTTTGAACATGTGTGGAACTACACCATCGGATCTTGCACAATCATATGTAAACACAAAAATGTACCTTTTGACATGGTGTGATCATGTACTAATGACATTGCAGAAAACACAGACAGCATAGGGAGACTTCGTGTACCATCAGTATAGTTGGCCCCTTAACTCATGGCATGACTTACAGCACTTTATTATATGTCCATGATGCCCATAACAGTGCGGTTGTCAACCAAGCCTGAGAAATTGTGAGCACAGCGAGAACAATGTTAGTGCTGTTGTCATTTTGATTCCAATTTAGAAACATGAAATGCCGACATTTGATTGGTTCATCTTTTGGATGAACTCCTGGCCTCAGCTTTAGTTGCGGTAAACAGGCGAGCTGTGACCGATTAGGGCGTTTGTTGCGATCAGCTCTTTTTTTTGTATTTCTCTAGCCAGGCTGAAAAAGACCAATCCTGGGGAAATATAGCCGCATTAGGGAGATAAGGCAGAAAAGCCAAAGGACAATTCTTTAGCCTAATGACAGATCTATATCTCGCTGAATCCGCTGTCTCCCAGCAAGTGGCTTTGTTTTATCACTCAGCTTGCTATTTTAATTACGGATTTGTCACATCCCGCTGGACAAAATTAGACAATAGCTTTTGATGTTGGAGTATAGAAGTTAGCCTTTCATTATATCCATGTTATTAGGGACGTTATGCGTGGGCGCAGCTCGGCTCACCCCCACTCTGTCCCTGTTACAGAAACATAACCATGCTCAAGGTGATGGTTTTGAAGATTCAAATGTTTTCCTGCAGAGACATGGAGGGACTCATTTGACAGCTTGAAAGCTCAGCAAATGAATGTAGAGCAGATTGATTGAAAGGCTGTTGTGATGAGCTAAGGCTATGATTCTATAATTCATGGTTTGAAACAGAACAGCCCCACAGACTAGCCAGTTGTGACTTCAAACAGCTTTCATTTGTAACTCTGAGAGTCAACGATGAGTCCCGGATCAGCTCACAGCGAGGTAAAGTAGACGTTTCTCAACAGAAGATGCCAGATGGACTGAAACCACATTAAAATTCACTGAAAAGACTGAA